ACAACGTGGGGGCTGATTTTCTTGATATTGACCATCTGAGAACAGTTGACGAAACATGGGTGCCTCCTCACATGTAACCCAACCCTGAGATGAAGGAAGATTCCACTACCTGGAAATACTCCTCTTCACCCAAGCCCAACAAGATTAACTCATAGCAGACGCACATTCTAGTCATTGGAATACCGGAAGACGCTGTGTTCTGGAACACTAAAAAAAGCATAATTTCGTTTTTCACAAGAAGGAGTTTTCAGTTCTGTTTCTTTTTTCTGATACTTAAAAGGACAGATAACAAAAATCTATAGACATGATATGCAAATTTGTGTTTCTGATCTGTGTATGATGGCCCAAAACATCCTGCAACTTTGCTTTTCTTGGTCTGCTGCTGTTGGACATATGTGTCCGTCACGGACTGAAAGAGTTAAGGGGAGGGGCTGGTTTTGAATTGTCGATTTTGGGTCATTTGATAGTATCTGGACTTTTATGTATTATAATGCTCAAATCAATTGTAAATCTAAAATGTGTTTATTCTTTGTACTACAATCATTATCTTTCAGGTTTTCTGTTTTAGAACTTTGATTTTGCTAATTTTGTAACAAAACGTCGTTTTTCTTCTCAAAACTTCAATTTTTGATAGTTTTTATCATCCATTTTTTAAATTTTCTTTTTGATTCCAGTGAAATGTTCAGGGCTTGTTATTCAAACCATAACCTAACTGTGTATAGGTGGAAAATAAAAGTGGGTTGTTGGAGGGTGCTCTGGTGTGGCTTGCTCCTTCTTTCCTATCGAACATCTATCGTCTTTATCTCTCCTTCTTCTTTTTTGTGTATGTTACTCTCTTGTAACACATCTATTCTTCGGCACTTATATGACCTTATTGTGTTGCAAGTGCCGTAAAACTCTTAATAAAACTAAAATAAAAATAAAATGGATGCAATCATAAGTGAGTTACATGGATGGTTGTGAAATCGAATTCCGAGTCAGTTATCCATCTGTAACTTTTTTCTATTCAAGATATCCAAGATCCAAACTATATAAAATTTTGTATTGAGTATTAATAATATACCAAATTTGAGCAAATTTGGTTTGTAAATTAAAAATCCTTTTTTACTTTTACGAGAGCTGTTTATTTTCAATATGGCGGCCGTTACCATGGAAATCGTAGATTTGAACAAAAACATTAAAGTTACATTTTAGACATGATTAAATGTTATACCTCCATGCTAAAAGGCTTTATCTGAAAGGTCATAGTTACCGAGATAGGTTTATAAACCAGCCTCCCCCCCCCCCCTCAAGGCTCAACGCTCTTCAAATAAACTCATGACAACAACCGTTTTCTAAGATGTATAGGGTGTTTTGCTTTCAACTATTTCAGCTTCCTTGGTAAAACTATTAATGATGACAAGTATTGTGAGACTCTGATTGTTATAAAGAGAAGTTCTTATGTCGAAAAATACAATGTTACTTGAAGAAGAGCATCATCTTTTTATTTTGGTAAGTGTTTTACGGCGCTCGCAACTGCATAAGGTCATATAAACGCGCGAGATAGCGTCATCTTGCAGCACAACCATGTCACACCTCAGAGAGCAATACTGACAAAGACGATATAAAGATCATGCACTTGGAAAGTTCTGCCCCATCCACCCACCACACAGTCCGAACCTTGCTCCGTCAAGTTTTCACCTGTTCGGAATCCTTAAACGATATCGTTTAGGACGAAGCTTCCCAGAGATAGAATATCTCCTTAAAGATGTAAAGGGTTGATTGGGTGCTATCTCTTGACCAAAAAAATGGAGGTAGGCCTATTATTCACAATATTACGTTTCGAAGTAGGCACGTGAAGTGAACACTTTACTTTTTGTTGAAAATTCATAGTGACAAATTTAGAACTTACAAGTTTCGGCAATTTTTACCTTATATTTCGAGACAATCCAAAAATGCATGTTATTTTCGCTTATAGACAAACGGTATACTGCAACATATTGTATCATAACTATAACATACCATGCACTGATGTCTTGTGTGTGCGTGAGAAAACTTACACGTACGTCCTGTCTGCCCTCTCATGTGTATAATAAAAAATAATATAGTGTAAAGCGTATAAAGCATGCTTTCTAGTGGGGACATGCGCTATACAAATGCTATTTATTATTATTTTCATTATTATTATCATTATTAATTATTATTATTTTAATTATTAAAACTTATTTACTTATGCATTTATTTATATGTAAAACAATTTCCTGTGTGTTTACTCTAAGACTAACAGCTAATTTCAAAACCAAAATGCTGCACACTTTGTAACTGTTACTAAACACAAAAGCACCAGATGATAGAATTGGGCAGGGTCAAAAAATTTTTTTTTTAAATAAATAAATGACAGAGCTAGTTCAAATCAGGCTGTCTGAATCCTCTATCCCCACTACCAACAAGAAGGCGCAAACATCAGGTGGAGAGGTTTGTCCTGTTGTGGGAATAAAGATGGCGTCATCACCGCAGACTACTTTAAAGATGGCTATGCCGTCACTGGGTAGGGCTGGGCAATGAGTCGCTTTAGCAAAATCCGGATAATATGTTAGTTCACCTCTTCGGCAAATAATATTTTTTGAACCGCTTCGGAAAATGGGTTAGAACCACTTCGACAAACGGGTTCGTATCACTTCAACAAATGGGTGCCCCCACTTCGGCAAACGGGTCAGGAAAGAGAGTTAAGAGTCTGAATTGGGATACTGTTTCATTGAGAATTATCCGATTAACGGACAGTTTATCCGGATTTGCCCACCTCTATCACTGGGGACTATTCTTTGGCGTTGCTAACTACGTTCTATCATGGCCAAAAAAAAGACAAAGGAAGCTGCAAAAAGGACCCCGCCTCCCTCCCTGTGGCCAGCAATTCTCCAGCGTCCAGAGCTTTGAATGCAACTTAGACAGCTAAGCATTGAGTCGACACAATTTCCTGCACCCTCCATATTCAACGGATATACATGTAGCACTTTCTAACTTTTTTCCTGCTTCATAATCTGACCAAAAAAAGTTTTAAAAGGACATCGTTTCATATCGAAGTGCAGGAATGGTTTGAGTCACACCTGAGGTCATATCATGCTCCAGGACTTTTGAATGCCAAGCAAAAACATGAAGAGTGTGTCAATTTGCATGGACTAGCCTGGGAATGGCAGAATGTGCAACGGCAGCTCGCGACCGTGAAGAATGGAAGGTCATAACACATCAACCTCTGAGTCAGAGATGACACCTCCAGGTATCCAGGTAACTTGCAGAGTAACTTGGAAGAAAAGAAGCACTGTGAGTGCCAAATTTAAACTTTCTGGCTTACTTCTCTCATAGTCGAGGTAAAATCTCATTGACCCCCCCCCCCCCCTCGTTAAGATTCAGTGATGACGATGCATGATGTCAGGTTTTTTTTAAGCGAGAGGCACCACAGCAGCGCTGATGGCGGGTGGGACCAGAGACGCTTTGGCGCGACGCTCTGATTATGACACTACAAGGCCACAACGTCTGTCTACCAAGTTACGGGAAGAAACGAAAGTGATGTTGGTGTCGCTCGGTTAAACCACATCATCATCATCATCATCATCATCATCATCATCATCATCATCATCATATCATAATCATAATCATAATGATGATGATAATGATGATGATGATGATTGTTGTTATTATTATTATTATTTTTATTATCATTCCTGTTGTTATCATCATTCTTATTAATATATTTATTATCTCAACAGGCATCTTAACAGACGCAGTTGCGCTGTCACCTATCTTCTGACACTCCGATCGCCAGGAAGTGGGTGGGCTGTTCTCAATCCAGATTCGACTGGTATACAACAAAGACTAGGCTACACCGCTTTCCACAAAAGTGCACGTCAAGTCAAGAACACTAGATAATCAAGGTGCTTTCCAACTTTTGAACTCTATCAGGATGGCTGAATCTGTCGATTTGGATGCGAAGGAGAAAGCTTTCAAGGCTCTCCACGTTCTGTTCATCCTGGCCATTTCTTTTTCCAGCCTCGCACTTATGGTCAAACTGTTACGAGGCGTTCTGTTAAAAAACCAGCGAAAGTTCTTGATATTCACCCTAGCGGGTGGAGATTTATTTTTGGCGTTGTTTTCTCTTACCGTGGTGACAAGAAGACTGTTTGAAAATAACGTCGAACTCAGTTATGCGTCTAAAGTCTTATCGGAAAAATACCTGTTCCATTACTTTCCTTTCGTGCACGCGATGGGAATGTTTGTCCTAGCAATAGAGCTGGTGCACAGGGCTCAACTGCGAGAGATAATCTCTAACCCGTATGTGGCTTCTCTTTTGTGTGCCGGTCTTCCCTGGGTCCTCGGCCTCATAGTTGTTTTGCCGCTGGTAATGGATGGCTTTTTGTGGTCTGAGGGAAAGTACCAGGAAGGATTTAAAAACAACGACCGTCAGATTGCATGGTATGTGGTGTCAACCATTATCCCATCCACACTGGCACTAGCCGCTTGCATAGTTACAGACTTTATCAACATTAAATGGGTACCCGAAGATTTTTCCTCGGAGAATACAGACTCAGCAACGCAAGAGGAAACTGAAATGAGCAAAATCTACCACGTTGACAACCAACCCACTTTCTATCCGTCTAATCAATCACATGGGCCGTTTTACAGCAGCCAATCAGAACCACCGTACCGCCCGAACTCCTCGGAGATCTACGCTCCTCTCTCTAGACCACCTTCCAATCACCTCGCTAGTCGTTTTTCGATGAACAATAATAATATGCACCCAGTACAGGGTTCTCCAGGACCTCTATCAAGTCGACTCAGCATGCAAAACGTTTATCTTCCTCCCCATCCACAACCAGACCCGTCCCTTCGCACTGTCCCCGGAACAAGACTTTCAACATACAGACCTCAAAATGATAAGTCTTTTGGTAAAAAGGAAAAGCGTGTTCTGCTTCTTGTCACTGCGATTTCTTTCGTTTTGACCACACCCTGGGCCTTCTTTCAAGTTTGTTATGTACTCAGAGATGATAAGAGTTACATTGAGCCGTTAGCAAGAGAGATCGTCGTAAATTGGTTTCGGTACTTTCTCTACCTGAGGTCGGTGGTCACTCCTCTTATCTGGATTGCCACGATGCGCAAACCGTGATATTGTCCTGGTTCCCACCCGTACTCAAGGAATTGTGGAGATACGCCTGTTACATTATTTTATACCATACATGGAGTTCTTTTAGCATTTCACTTCTGGACTCTGGTAAAATAAATCCATATGTATCACACGTAAAATATAAGCTCTCTAGTGAAATATTAGCAAAATTTGCATGGATTAAATTACTCTGCGCACTATATTCGCTTTCTAATCTGTCAGCAAAATATAGACTTGAATCATACTATTCCTATACCGTGCAATGTTATGGCATCCGCTCCTTGCCCTGTGCAAAAACTTCACCGCAAAGCGTGTCATCATATGTTTGTTTGTTTAGTATAGGGTTTTACGGCGCTCGCAACTGCATAAGGTCATATGAGCGCGCGGGACACACCTAATACTTTTTCGTTGGTAGGAAATTTTGAATTTTGCCCGGGTGGCGGTCGAAGCCTACTCTTATCGATTTTAGACCACCAAGGGATCTTTAACGTGCGCAACTTGCACACGGGCCCTGTGCCAGAAGATCAGGGATGTGGTAGAAAGACAGCTGTAAGAAGGAGTCAAGGAGTAACAGTAGAACGGCTGCAGAAAGAGTCAGGAGCCCAGAGGAAGGGGCAAGGGAGGTGAAGGGGTGGGGGCAGAAAGAGGAGACGAAAGCAGACGATAGAATATTGCTAGAGAGCAGGAAAGGAGGTGAAAGGAGACAATTTTAGAGAAGAAGAATTTTCTGTCGCTACCCGGATTCGAACCCGGGACTTTTGAATGAGAGGCCAACACCTTAACCTCAAGGCCACGAGAGCCCCCCGTGTCATTATAGGCGCCCAAATGTAGTGTCAAACACCAGTCTCCCAGTGTTCCTATAGTTGAGAGTACGCGCAACGTTCTAAGTTACCCTCAATTCTGTTCCAACATGAGCCAAACGGTGCACATCCTGGTGAAGCAGGATTACGTCAGAGAATGGTGATGCATTTTTGTGTAATTCCACAAGTCTGTGGTAGCAAACGACCCCCAGCCTTTGGTTTGTTTTGGCATCGAAGTTTTCAAATAAAAATCAAAGTCATTATTATTCTAACGACAACTTGTCATATAAGTGCAGTTTCTAAATTTTCAACTTTTGAATCGTACATTTTCTGCTTGCTTTGCTTGTACTTACGTTATTATTATTTAATTTTTGTTTGGGTTTTTATTTCGCGGAGGGAGACATACGGATAGCACAACAATCATGTTACTGGTGTGGCTAAAAATAAAGGGGGAAAAAAATCCTCCCTCTGACGGGCATGAACATTTTGTAGAATAGATCCTCTTGTCCACTCGACTGGACGTTTGAACTTTATTTTGTCCGGATCTATTTCGCCAGCTGCTATCGGTATGGTAGAAAACAATTATTACAATCGTCATGGGGGTAGATCACGACTTATTCTACAAGTGAACAAGCTTTAAGATGATACCAATAACTCGACATGCCCAAAAATTGAAGAGAGCCTGATTCCACCACGCTGCCTAACATTTCGACACACCGATTTGTCCCTGTGCCTAAAAGCCCGTCGTGTACTCCATTATATGTCTATACCTCAGAATTACAAAAAGTTTTATCGGACATTTTTTTCTTGCGGTTTTGAGTCACTAAGACCATCGTAAGATTATCCCGAGTCGTTATCATGATATTCAAAGAATTGCGTTCGAAAAGGCTTGAAATGTTGTGAAACAAAATTTTTGACTGTGTTGGGGTCACTACAGTCGGAACATGACCATCTCTACTCTCCCCCCCCCCCCTCTTCAGGATCCACCCCAGAGTCTGTCTGCTTTTAGTCTCCATCATAATCTGGTTGGAGATCCATGGGACTGCTCCGCTCAGGTGGCTGTGTTTCCCTTCTCCCCTTTGGATCCCCTTCTCCTTCAATCTACCTAGAGTGTGGGAACGGCTACCCGCCCTATTCTTCCTCAAATTTTCCCTTACAGTGCTTAGGACGGTTGGTGGGTCCAGTGTCAAATTCCCTCCCACTTTTGCTTCACCAGCCAGCTTGTAGATAGATCTACTTAGCAGATAGAATGTTGTAAATCTGAGGTAGCGATTAGTTATCGTCTTGGTTTCAGAGAAAAATCCAAACTCAGATTGACGAAATCGAAAGTGCAATTTTTCACCATGGAGTTTTGGTGTTGTTGATCGGTTGATTAAACATTTAGCCACACCATAATGGGGTTAATGGTTCGAACTCGAAGCATATCAAATGCTGTCTCACCTTCCTGGAATAATATTTCCCTCACAGAATTATCTCAAAAGTACCCATTACACAGGGGGTCAACAGTGTCTCCCTACTACTACTACTACTACTACTACTACTACTACTACTACTACTACTACTACT